GAATGGGGAACAAAAATCTGGCTAGGGAACAAATAAAAGTCACTTGCATCTGTACTCCCCCAACCCTCCCCCCCCCCAAAAAAAACCACCATAAAAATAAACCTAATTTCCAAATCTGGCTTTGAGTTCCATTATGGCACAGCAACTTGAGACAAATACTCATAAGGCAAGTGGCCAGGTGGCCAACATGTTCTGAAGGCCTCCTATTAACCAATGTGAAGAGGTAAACTACCAAAATGACTCAGGATGACTGTTCTAGATCCACAATAAGAAAGACGCCAACAGGATTTTCTTAATCCCAGATTACCTTGCGCCCCTAGCACTAAGCAAAATTCACCAATATACAGGATAAGTCCCTTCACACGTGGAACTATAAGACGAATAAATAATGAACTTGGAATAAAAGAGAAAAGGTTAAGAATACAAGTTTTATTCTAGTTATAAAATAAACAAGTCATCGGAAACAGACTCACAGACTTAGAGAATGAACTTACGGTCACCAGGGAGGAAGGGTGGGGGAAGGGACAGTTAGGGAGCTTGGGACTGACACGTACTCACTGCTATACTTAAAGTGGATAACCCACAGGGACTCACTGAATAGCACAGGGAACTCTGCTCAATATTATGTGACAAGCTAAATGGGAAAAGAATTTGAAAAAGGAGTGGATACGTGTACATGTATAACTGAATCACTGTGCTGTACACCTGAAACTACCACAACATTGTGAATCAACTATTCTCCAAAACGAAATAAAAAGTTAAATAAATAAATCACAGGGATGTAATGTACAGCAAGGTGATTACACTCAATAACATTGTAGTGCATATTTGAAAGTCGCCAAGAAAGTGTATCTTAAAATTTCTCATCACAAGGGAAAAAAAAACTAACTTTGCATGGTGACTAGATTTATTACCGCGATCATTCCACAGTGCAAACAAATGTTGAAGCAAATGCTGTGCACCTGAAACTAATATAATGTTAAATGTCAATTACACCGCAATTAAAAAAAGAATACAAGTTTTATCTTATAAGTCGGCACACATACATAGTATTTGGAATTGAATTGAACATGTAATCATCTTAGTGTTCTTCTATCTCACTCTGAATATAAACTGCTCTGCCTTTCTTCCTTCCCTCATCTATCCCTACCTCCACCTCTCTTCCAGGGAAATAGATAATTTTCATTTCCCTGAGGATACAGGGTCAGATTGAGGCAGCTCTAGAATGACAGAGGCTAGGTGCTAGGAGTTGAATTCCAGTCTGGGGTGACCCTGAGGGTCCAAACGTGGACTCTAAGACTGTTACAAAACCAACCTGAATTCTGAGTCAAGCACAGTATCATTCTAGTCTCCTAGGTATCCCTCCAAATGAAGACTGATCAGCCTGGCCTAGTGTTAAGATCCACGTGTACTGACATCGGTGTCCTCCCCACACCCGCATAAACATAAGTGCCAATATAATACACTCTGAAGGAAGAGCGGGCATCATTTTAACAAGTCCCAGAAAACCTCCTTTCCAAAGGCAAGCACTTGCCTCTCAGTACCCTGATAATTTGGTAGATACAGTTCTAAGAGCCTGTACCTGGACCTACAGTACCCAAGATCATAATGCTAAGGATACAAGATAGGTGCTAATAATCGACCTTACAAAATAAATAAACAAATAAAAAGAAAATTTTAAAAGTACCAGCGCACAGAGGATTATTAGCCCACATTTCATGCCCTGTAATATATACACATAAATAAAACGGGAATTCCTCTGTGAGCAAACATGTGCTTCCAAGGGTTATATAATCAGATTAACGGCCTTTTCATTGACGGCTCTACATACACACCAAATCTTAATTTATTTGCCCAAGTTTGGTTAGACTGCATCAGTTTCCAAAGCTTTCATCAGAGTAGGTCTAATCTTTGAGATATTTCTTACCCCAATCTATTTCAAGCATTACTAATAGGCCCCCTGGAGCTTATCTTTGACTCAAGCACCTCGTGGCAGAAGCAAAGGCTGCCAAGAAAGAAAGGTCCCTAAGTCAAAAGTAGCATCAAGGCACCACAACCTGAAGTGCAAAACATCTATTGTAACCTTGTGGGCGAAGAAAACTCATCCCCCCAACATCTTCTGGGAGTTTCTTCCAATGTGCTCAGGTAATAGTCCACAGCTGGTCAGGAGGCTGCGGCCAAAACAAGAGAGATTGGAAGCAGTCATCCTGACAGTTCACATCACACTTGTACAGCAGGGGGGTATTTTAACTAAGTAATTCATGGAAGTGTACCACTCTCCACTTCACGGGACAAGCAGTCATTCACCTGATGGCTGTTCAGCCCCTGGAGGCTCCAGCCTCACATTTTGAAAATAATCTTGTATGTATCTTCAGAGTTCTTCAGACATGGGAGAAACATACTGTAACTCTGCAGAAACTGACTTGTAAAAGGATTCCGGAGCCAATATAAGCCCCTGTCTTGATTCAAGCAAAGGGACGGTCTCTCAACATAAGGTTTGCTTGATCTCACATCTTCAAGCAGCTTAATCTTTAGCTGAATTTCCTAGTATTGAGTATACCTGGTCAACTCAACTCACCACCAGCCCTGTAAATAGGGAGGAATGCCATAGTGCACTGGCAGGTGTTTCAAAGAAAATTCCACAGCTGTCATCTCTTCCTCTCCTATTTCAGGAGATTGCGGAATGTGAAAGAATATTAACTGAGAGAAGTTGCACTTCACAATCTGGGGTGGTAATTAAGAGAGAAAGAAAGACACCAAGGGGACCAGTCTCAGGAAAAGGGGTCAGAAAAGTGCTTTCCTGGTGTGCGAAGGAGGCCTACCAGGAGTAACCTCAAAGTAGGTGCTTTTCTCAGAGCATTGTTAAAGTGTGTGTGGTAAGGGCCAGGCTCAGCTGGCAGAGTCACCTTAAAAGAAACAGGGCTACTGAGTTATACTCAGAAAACTGTGCTTCAATAAAGAACACGTGGACTAGAAACAGGTTTCCACTCCTCTAGCCTCTAGGATGCCTTCAAGTGTTTTCTTTCAGAATCTAGACCTCAATCTCCTTATCATCCCAAATACATCTGAAAAGAAAAAATTCATCCTCTCAAAGGGCTCAGAAATTTAAAATAATGCACATGGCTCTCTTGAAACAGAGAAGGACCCTATGGTCTATGCCCCCCATGTCCTCAGCCTGCCTTTTGTCTGTGGAATAACTTTAGTCAACGAATAAGTTTAATCAGAGAAGTGAGAAAATGCAGAAACAAAGGAAAACAGTCAAAGGAGACCAAATAATAATAGTTTAGTCCTTAAGCATGGTCAAGGACCTTCAGTCCCTCCTCAAGGGCTATAGATAATATTCTGAGCCATATCCTGTGAGCTGTTTACTTTGTAGATACTGAAACCCCCGCCAGCTGGAAGAAGTTAACTACATGATGACCAGGCTGTAGCCATGACCTAAGCTGCCACAATTCTGATAACCAGCCTCAAGAAATGGGAACAAACGGACCCTGGAACTGAAGCCTAACCGTACTTAAAACAGTCAAGATGACGCTGGTCAGACCACCGACGACCAATTTCAAGATGACCGTCAGAGCTGACTGTGCTGTCTCTGCATGTAGCCCCCTCCCTCTGCCTGTACATCCCTGAAACTCCCCCGTAAAAGCTCTTGCCCACTGATTGTCGGTGGGGGGAGTCGGCCTTTAGGCAGGCGTCCACCCTCCGCCCCACTCCCCCCTCCACTTGCTGGCATCCAAAGTAAAGCAAACTTTCCTTTCCACCAAACTTGCCTCTTTATTGGCTTGCGAGCAGCCGGACCCCACTTTCGGTTACACTCTTTTGTGTCCATCTTATTTATATTCAGCTCCTTATTAGGTGAGATATACAGCTCTGGAGCTTAAATCTGAAAAATCCATGCCTAAGTGCAACTTCTCGCCCCTGTAATCTCGCACAAGCAACCATTTTCTAAGCTTCAGATTCCTCAACTGTAAAACGGTTATTATAACAACACTACCTGCCACACCTACTTCAAAGGATCACTGCTGAGATTACATGCAGTAAGACATATAAAATAATTTTTAAAAAGCAAAGGACTACACAAATGTTGGTTGCTACCTTAGGTGGGGCACTGTTAAGAGCATGAAGAAATGCATATAACGGTGAAAAGAAGGTTCTTTTATCTGAAAAAAAAAAAGGACTGCAAACATGGTGAGGACGAATTTTAAGGTACTGGCTAATATGTTCAGGGAAGCGGTATGACGCGAACTTTATTATTTATAAGCGGATTCTCATGCCAACACATCCACTTTGCACAGACAGCAAAAGAAGGAAAACAAGAGAGATTAAGAGTGGGTGTCCAGCTCTCGGCTCACCGAAATAACTGATGGAGTTCCACGTGGAGAGGGAGGGTGGAGTTAGTCATGACAGCCACACAGAACATGGTTGCATAAGAGGGGGAAAGTGAAGGTGTTCGTACCAAGCACAGAACTAACTGTCAAGTTACCCACAGTCCACAGATTACAGCCCGATCCGGGGCGTGTCATTTCCACAGGGGGCTTTAGGGGAAAAGAAAGAAAGAAAGGCTATTCCACGAGCATCAAGCAAACCAGGTGATTCCGCAGGTTGGTTCTCCGCCGGCGCGGGTAACGCTGGCGGAGAGAGCGTGAGGTCGGGGGCTCGCGAGTTGGGCCCGCGGGACACGGAAGCTGCCTTCGAACCATCGCAAACCAGAGGACGCGGCGCGGACCCAGACCCGCCAGCCCCGACCCGACCCGACCCCGGACTCGCTCCCGGGAGAACGGAAAGCCGGCTTCCGAGAGGGAACCGGGCAGGCGGCGCGGGCGCGCACCGGGGGACACCGCGCCGACTGGGGACGGCGGGATGCGGACACTGCCGGGCGGCGGGGACCCCTGCCACGGGGGGGGGGGGGGGGGGGGGGGCGCGCGGGGGGGGGGGCCCCCCCGCCCCCGGGGGGGGGGGGGGGGCGGGAGGCGGCTCGGCCACCGGCCCCGCGCGCTCACCTGGTGCAGGGCGGTCAGGCCGTCCACGTTGGCCGTGTCCACGTCGGCGCCCCGGGCCAGGAGCCGCCTCACCTCGTCGGTGTCCCCGCTAGAGCAGGCGGCCAGGAACACGGCGCCGTCCTCGAAGCGGACCCGCGGGCCCCCGCGCTGAGCCTGCGGCGGCAGCTCCGCGCCCGGCCGGTCGGCGGGCTCCTGCTCCGTCAGCGAGCCCCGCCAGCGCCGCAGCTGCTCGGCCCGCCGTGCCCGCGCCGACTCGGCCCGCTTCCCGCCCAGGCGCTCCATCTCCGCCATCGCCGTCGCTGCTGCGGGCCGCCGCCGCAGCCGCCGCCAAGCGCCTCAGCCGGGAGCGGAGGGCGGAGACCCGCGCGCGGCCATCTTTACTGCTCCGCTGCCCGCACCGCCCGCACTCCCCCGTGGCCTCAGCACGCAGGCGCGGCGGAGCCCCGGTTGCATCACGGGACTTGTAGTAGGAGATCCGCGCGCCCCCCTTCCCCCGGGCGCACCCGCACCCAAAGGGAACTACAAGTCCCTGGATGCATTGGGAAAGAGGCGCGGCCCGGGGTGGGGGGCTCCCTGCTTGGCCGCGGACGCGCGAGGTCACCTCTGCCCCGAAGCGGGAGCTGTCCCCCGCCCGAGTCACCTCCGCGGGCTTGTTGGGAGTCGTAGTTTATTCTTGTTCTGACTTACAGCTAATCTCGGCTCCCTAACTATCACGTCAGTCTTTTGAAGTGGAAAAGGGGTCGGTAATTATCCCTACTTTCTATTGGGGAAAACTGGACGGAAAGTACCCGAAGCTCTCAAAACCGTGTCCTGGTTGTAAATGCAGAGCTTTATTAACGTTGTAATTTAGAACGCATTAACAGGTAACCTGAAGAGATCCTGGGAATGATGCTCGCAGGTATAGTGGGAAGCGCATTCAAGTTCAGTTCTCCTCCCAACAAGTTACTTGACTTCTCCGACCCTGATTTGTAAGATGGGAATAATAATACCTTAGGGAATTCCCTGGAGGTCCAGAGGTTAGGACTCGGCGCTTTCACGGCTGGGTGCGCCGGTTCAATCCCTGCTCGGGAACTAAGATCCCACAAGACCCGGCGCGGCCAAAAAATTAAAAAAAAAAAAAAAATCTCACAGGGTGGTCATGTGGAGCGGATAAGATAATACATGCAAGGGTATCTAGTACTATCTCTGTGCGTATACCAGTTCACAATAAATATTAATTTCCCTTCTGTCTCTCTCCTCTTCTACCCTTTACATGGATCTTAAGTTTACTTGGGAGGCATATGTGGGGCATATATCCCGTCTTCCATGATTTTTTTCCCAAAGCTACAAAAAAATACTATGGTGCAAACACAATATTGTAAGTCAACTATAGTTAAATTAAAAAAAAATACCATGCACGTCCTAAATTCCTAAGGCAGCACGCAGGCCATTTTCATATTCACAGTGAACTTGGTTATTAAAACCTGTCAGGTTGACTCAGTAACTTTAACTCCCCAGGGCTTTAGCCCTGGACAAAACATAACTGTTTTCCATTATGATAGAGAACATATACAATTATTAGGTTCTTTGAACTTTCCTGTATGGTTGAAGTTTTTCATTTAAAAAAATGTTGCAAAAATGATTAGGTCGTTGTAAAGGGAAACTTTACTATGTTCTATCATGTGCCTCAATTTCCCCTGAGACAAGCCAAGAATCAAATGAAAAAGGGACATATAAATGTAAATTATTATGTCTAATAATACTACGTCTATCCATATATGCTTTAATTAGGTATCCTTGAATTCTTTATAAATACTAATTAAGTCATACATCTTTGAGAACTGTGAAGAACAGTGTGCATAAAAAGATGTAATACTGTATACTTTATATAGCCATATTTTCCTTGCATTAATTTAGTCACCATAGAACTTCTCATGCCTCATCATCTATTGGAATTAAAAATTCTGTATGAGGTTTACTTTGTAACTTGTCAGCATGGAACCTCTTCGTATTCCAACTCAGCCTCTTGCTGATAATTAAAATCGTTCACAAGCTCTCAAATAGAACTGTCCCTATAGAATAAAAGAAATATTGATATTAAACCAGATAGGAAATAATACTTAGCTAGGAACCTAACCCTCTTCAAGAAACCATTATTAGCTGAACTCTGCTAGTCTGGCAAGGAAACAAGAAAGTAAGAGAAGGGCATGTTTTCAAATTTCAGCAAATTGCTGAAATCTCAGGAAACAGATCTCTGACAGCAATCCACGTGAACCATTTTAACATTATGATCCTGGTACACAATATTGGCTCAAAATAAGTATGTATAATTGGACCATATATTTTACATACTGGTTTTCTAATAAGGATTTTTAAACTAGGGTAAAATTTTCATGGATCGATAATGTTATACTTCTTCTGGCTGTATTCTTTTCACATTCAGAATCAGGAAAGAAGAAACATCTGGTTCCAGTTGTAAAAATAAGCTAAAATTGGCCAAGTCCAAGTCAAATCCATACTTTCCCAAGAGGTATGAACTTAAATCTCAATAGGAAGAATTCAGTCTCAATACTAGGAAGTTCCAGGTAGTACTTCCTTACTGTATCTATTTTACTTGCTTTTTTCCTGAGGTAGTAAGAAAATGATACCCTCTTTGGAGATTTTAAAGAAAAATATAAGTAGTTAAGTTCCTTACATAATTTAAGTGCAAACCTACCTGGAAGGAGATGAATCTTCCAGCTATGTGATTACGGAGTTCAGTGATAATTATTATAATCTAATTAATTTAACTAGCTCAGCCAAAAAAAAGTTATGCCACCAAAAATAAAACAACAAATCAATCTGTGTATAATGATTTGAAAAGCTTTTCAAAATTAAAATCATCTAAGTTTTTTTTCTGAAACGTCTTCCCCCAAGCAGGGCTCTCTGAGAGTAAACTTAAACAATAAATTTATACAATTGTTTACTACCATTAAACAAACATGAGAGTTTAGATTTCCTAAATATTCTAAAGAAAAAAATACTTTATATGCAAGTGAATAAATCCTGACAAATAATCCTGTGTATAAGTAAAACATAATTTTTATACTTTTTTCTTCCAGTTTTACTGAGATATAATTGACATACCGCACTGTATAAGTTTAAGGTGTGCGGCATGATGATCTGACTTACATACATCATGAGATGATGACCACGGTAAGCTTGGTGAATAGCCATCGTCTCATATAGATAACAAAATAAAAGAAAAAGAAAAAGCTATATTTTGTGATGTGAACTCCTAGGATTTACTCTCTTAACTGTCATATATAACATACAGCAGTGTTAATTATATTTATCACATTGGACATTATATCTCTAGTACTTATTTATCTTATAACTGGAATTTCTATCTTTTTTTTTTTTTTTTTTTTTGAGATCAAGCCATTTTATTGAGGGGCTTCGGGGGAGGGTCGAAAAGCTGGGAGGACAATGAGATCCGACGTCCTTCTCCTAGCCGGGACCTTCACCACTTCACAGTCGCTGAAAGTGGAATTTGTATCTTTTGACCACCTCCATCCAATTCCCCTGCCTGCGGTAAACCACAAATCTGTTCTCTTTTTCTATAAGATTTGTTTGTTTGTTGAAGTATAATTAACCTATAAACTATGTCAGTTCCTGGTGCACAACATAGTGATTTGGTATTTTTACACATTACAAAACCATCACCACAATTTTTGAACTTTTAAATGTACTAAGTGCACCAGCTATGATGCACATACTCTGTTGTATAAAGTGAGGAAACTTTTATTAAATAATAATTTCCCATACACTTAAAACAAATTAGAATACTCCATTCTTTAAGGCAATGACACCGGTTCAGCTTATGAAAACCTTTCAGCGTGGCCTCTGTTCCCACCAGTTAACATACCTCCCTCTGGTGGACAAACAGAGACTGTACATTTAGCCCATGGAGTTCTTTCTGTTTTTCTTTTTTCTTTTATCCAATTCTTTCGGTTTGGCTTCCAAAACTACAGGTCTTTGCTTGTTTTATCATACTATCTCTCCTTTCCACCAGACTCAACATAGTGCCTGGTTTTTCTAAGAGACATTTTTAAGACTCGATTCTCAGAAAACCACCCGAGAAAGTAATCAATTTCAGCTCCGAAGACAGAACTGTAATTGTGACACAGTTACAGTTGGGGTGGAAAATAAGAGAAGACATTGAAGAAATTAAAATAGAAAATATCAGTACTAAAATAAGCAGCCAACTCCAGAATTAAGACAGAAAACACTTCCCCACAATGAGTAAACGCTAACAGTAGGTGCGAACCCGACAGCTAACTGGACAGTAACAGGATTCCTGTGTGATTCGCAGCTCCCCTCGTGGCTCACTCCCACAAGCCGACGTGAGGCCCCGGGAGCGCCGCGGACCGTCCTGGAGAGCGCGGGTCTGCGGGGCAGAGAGGACGCCCCACGCAGCGGTCACCGGGAGCCACGGCTACTGAACGCAGATCTGGGCTGAACGCACAAATCCCGCAGCGGTCGGACTGTACCGGTCCGCAGGTTTAGGAGGACCGGCCGCCCCTCCCGCGGCCGGAGCAGGAGGCGAGGGTGGGTGCGGCCTCCGGCCGGCAGTGTAGTCCGAACACGACGGAGGCTCCCCGCGCGGGAAGCCAGGGCCGCCGGGCCGCGCGCCGCAAGTCGGAACCCGGCTCCGAACCCCCAGTCCCTCAGATTCCGTTGAATTGCCGGAGCGCCCTCCGCGGGTATGACTGTCCTGGAGCGGCAGCCCCTCCGCGTGAAAGACCTTGACCGCAGCCCCTTCTCCAGATCAGATTCTCCCGGTCCCTCCTACCACGCCTATCGCTCGGACAGACGGAGCCAGTCCCGAGCCAGTTCCCGCGCGCCGCGCCCCTGTTCAAAGCGCGTGGGCGCGGCCCGCTCGGAGCCTAGCCAATCGGAGTCCGCGCTCCTCCCGGGCGGCGTTCCGGACCAATCACACCCTCGCAGGCAGGAGGCGGGGCGACGCAACCGTCGAGCTCGCGCAGGCGTGGTGCAGGCTGGTCGGCGCGTCTGCACTGCGAGGGGCGTCAGCGCAGGTGAGAGAGCGGGTGCTCTGGCTCTTCTGCCGAGAGGCCGCCCGCGGGGGGTCTGCGGGGTGGGGGGGGGCGGCTTTCTGCCTGTCGGGGGACCTTCCTCTTCTCCGACTATCGGCTGTGGAACGGAGGCTCTGGATGTCTTGACAGCCGTGGAGGGCGCGCGCCCCCGGCCTGTCACCCTGTCCCCCTGTCCCCCGGCCGCCCCAGCCATCTCGTTGCCACCACCACGCCCCAGCGGCCGCCCCCTCCCAGCCCCCGGGCCTCCCCCATCCCTTCCAGGTATGCCCCTCCCCGCGGCCGTCCCGCCCCCTCCTCCCTCTCCCGTAGACATTCTCCCTG